GATGTGTGTAGTAAAAATCTTTTTAGAAGAGCTGCATGCTGATGATTCCATGCACAACAGGAGGGAAATGTCAGGTTTATGATTATAAAATTAATGTGTGCTTTAGAATCATTTGTTCTGAGATGTTGTACTGTGTCTTGTGATGCAGTCAGGAGACCATCCTTCCTTGTGATTCTGGTGGAGCATCCTGTCTGTATGAACTGATCAATTGTTATGTATGAACAAATACTGTTTTGTGATCATGTGCTATGTTCTGTCAATAAAAGACGGCTGCAGGAGGGGATTCGGAGAAGAAAAGCTTGATGTTGGGTGGGTTTTTCCTTCCGCTTCTGCAGTCGCTGTTTGATCCTCTTTCGGTGTGCAGAGTCAATTTCTATTTATTTGCAAAGTAATTTTTCCTGAATCCAACACGATCATCAAAACATATCGTTTATTCAGCATTGCCATTCTGGAGCTGTTGGGGGAACTCCGAATGGATTTGGAGCCAGCTACAAGGAGGACCCACGCAATACCAGATATCACAAAACTCCTTGCAACATTGCACTTTTTTGCATCTGGGTCAATCCAGCGTACGGTTGCAGCGTGAGCAGGAATCTCCCAAACTCGTTTTTCAGAAGTGCTGTCCGACGTTCTAAATGCCATGTCGCCCTGACGCCCTAACGGAGAAACCAGACCCCCTGCGCCTGTGGAGCAACATGCCAATGCTGCGGGGATGCGTATGCGCAGTAATCTCATCCACAGTCACGTCTTGTGAGCCATTTGGTATGTGCATTTTTCTACAGGCCAATACAAACACCTGTTTTTTTTGCTTTTTTTTACTGCAGTGAAGTAGAAATTCAGCCACATACCACCTTAGGGAATAAAGGTTGCCAAAGTTTTATATACATTGTTGGGTTTTAATCCAGAGAGATGTGAGTTTAAAGGATTAAAAGGAAAATGATCAACACAGAAACAGGGTTTTGTGACGTCAGTGTGTGCCGGGTGGAGAGAAGAATGCTGGCTTGGAAAGCCATCACCTTCTCACACAGATCCCTTCATGGCAAAGCCTTTTATTAACAGTTTACAACATCAAACAGGCGGGCCTAAAACAGAAGAGCCAGTAATCATTGTCTGGGAGGATGCAGGTAACAAGATAGTGTTAATTGACCAACTGGCTGGATGGAAGTCACACATCCGTGTGATTCTGACTGGAGGTCATAAAAGTTTCTGACCCTTCTGG